GCTAAACAGCAAAGAAGAACCATGTTTTTCTATGCTCAATTTCTGATATTCAACATTGCTGAAATGACAAATGATCTAATTAAGCTTGTAATTCCGGAACAAGATTAAATGTTTGTTCTTGTTTGGAATAACTGTATCACTAGATAAAAAAAACACCATTTTGCACAAAAAAGTGCCTATGTCTTAAAACGGTATTTGAGTCATTCGCAAATTTACAAAATAATAATGGACAATTAAAGGAAAGATAGAGTCACAAATTAAGCTTTTCTTAAGAAGAAAAAGGAATGTTAACATCATGAACGATGTCGGACAAGATTCCGCTCGAATCACTATAAGATGCAATTGTATGGTTTTAATATTTCATGATAAATACCAATTCGTTTCAAAACACTTCAAATCATTTTCTCATTTCATAGTATTATACAATCTTATGGCGGTGAATAAATACGGCCCTCTGCGAAAACTTGGGAAAAATATCCGTTTTTCCGAAAAAAATTGAGTTGTGCGGAGATTAGATGAGGCAAATGTCAACAAACGACGGAACGAATCTTCATATTTAAACAGTTCATTTAAAGATGATTAATGTAAAAATGGTTCACGGTAAGAGGTGAACAGTTAAATTAACATTTCGATGGAAGAATTATTTTCTTATTCGCAACGCACTGGTCTTAATAAATTTTTTTCATTAATAGAAGACTTAGTTCGATTTTATTCAACGCAATTAATTATCTTTTATTTATATGTACAATTTATTCAACACATTTTAAATATCTTCTTGTAAATAAGTTCCATTTTTAAGTATCTTTAACAAATTATTTTTACATAAGGCATTTCAGGCTCATTTTCAAACTAAAGGTGAGATCTATGTAAAAACTTTTATAAATATCTCATACTAAAGGAATAAACGACTTAACAAAGTGTGCCGAAATTTTGGAGGATGAAGAAATATTTATGATAAACCATAAGTCCTTTCCATACAACTGTAATTGGCGAGAGCGTTATATAGCGAGCAGGAAAATTGATTCCTTTAAGATAAAATAATATTTAAAAAAGTCGTATTAGCAGCACGTCAGGAAACGTCCGTGGCCGATTTTTTAAGGTCGTTGACTTAAAACTACTTGTCCCTCACCGCCGCTTTTGGCTCGAATCCCGACAGTGACTTTGGATTATTTCATGTGAGGAAACTATCAAGCTAGTGTGCGGAACGTCGCTGGTTCTTCTAAGTTGCCCCTTCGTGCCTGAAATAATGCACGGAAAAGAACTGATGTCATCCTCCACCATAAAAGCTATTTGTACGGCGTAAAACCGAACAAAAAAAAAAGCAGCAACGTCATTCAAAACATAAACAGAAAAAAGTATAGCTAAAATTAGTGTTTAAAAAACATACGAGTATTATAATTATTATCTACTCAGACATACAAAGCACAAGTTATATATAATACAAAGATATAACACATAGTTGTCACTGGCCACTAATGAATACAGATAACGGCTAGAGAATGTAGTTTCGTGTAATTTAATTTTGTCACCAATCACAGTGAGTGGTCATGACCTTACTGCGTCAAACATTTAATGGTGTAAAACATGTGCTATAGGCCCATCGTCGCTATCGATTCACACTAACAAACTCTTCTATATTTGATTTATCGGTATGACGAGAATGGAGAATAAAGATTCTACTCCGGATTCTCGGAACCTCCACTTCAAAGAACATATCCGGTTATATATCGTGTTATTTGCTAGAAATAAACAATTGCTCAATCAGACTATTTCTAGTGATGTGAAACAAACGATTGCTTGCTTTACGAATTATTTGTTGTAACAGTTAAAATCAATAGCACATGTCAACCGAGAAAAATAACGCCGATTGCACGTAATGTTTATAAAGCCCCAAATTAATAATGATTGTAACTTCAGTTAGGCATATAATTTACAAGCACCTAATTAATATTTTCCAATGTCTCATTCTCTATGGTTTGTATATAGCGTCTTTCACGTGCGAACTGTTCTACATCATATGATAAGAATATTTATATGGCATATTTCTCTAATTGGATTCTCCATCTGAAAAACGACCTGGTGAGCATTTTTATTACTTCAGACACTTTTTGAAAGAATTTGCAGGTGATTAAATATCAATGCATGCATTTAAATAACAATATTTATCCTAGCTTTAAGGTGTACTACAAAAGATTTAGAAATAAATTCACTTTTTTTATTTAATTGTTGACTTGATATTTTGATTGCTTGATTTCTTTTTTTAAAGTGTTTAAAGTGTATAAAGCTATATATCTCATGAAAAAATTATTGTTTGGATTTTAAAAAAAGAATACTTCCAAAATGCTTGTATGAAATAAAAATGGCAATAAATTGCCTTAAAGCGAGTGGCGCATGCAGAAAGTCATTGCTAAAAAGATAAAACCCTACTTAAAATAACAAAATATTATTTTGTTTCGGAACATTTTATTCTGTTTATATACATTATTCATGTGTGTTAAATAACAGAGATATTTTGTGTTAAAACTTTTTCGGGAAACAATCATATAATAATTGTCATCAACTGGCTTATGTCTATAGCAATTGTTACCGAAAAAAACAACAAATATTACCCTAATCATTAGTAAATCAAATTGTAATGAACTGTATTTTTATGATACTTTAAGGAATGTTTTGATATGGTTTAGTCCATGAGTAGTTCAGTAGAAGTCGGCATTTTGTAAAAGCAAATATTTAAGGCTGTAGTGCATATTGGTATCACAGTGCATCGTTTTTCTGTGATGTATTTTCTTGTTCAATACTGGATATTAAAATTCATGTCAAGAAATATTCTAATGTGCTTTAATGAATAAATTACAAAAAGATATAAACATTTGTTGAGATTTTCCATTGACGACGTTTTTATCATTGACCTATCACTGCGACCAATAGATCCCAAAATGTCTTTTTTCAGAGAATAATACTTGGAAATAGTAAGGAACCTTTCAATATTGTCATTGTAAAACTGTATTAGTACTAAAACTACGAAATCAATACACCGCCATGACCGCAATCCACAAATATATTGAACGTTATGTCTCTAAGACACGAACCACCGGCACTGATTAGAGCGCCGAATACACTAGTTTATTATTGAAGTAGGAGTTAGCTGTTATTTTATATGTAGATTTCTCCCATAATGCATCATTTCTAGTGTATCGCCCCGTGTAACCATGACAGTTTTAATATTCATTATCGGTCTGTGAACTATCACAATTTGACACAAAATGTTTGTTTAGAGTAATTGGCTGCAATAATGTGCTGTATTTTATCTACACTAACACATTCTCAGAAAAGTCTCTATCGAAAGATATCTTGACAGAGAAAAAAGCAAGAAGTTCGGTGATAATTTGCACAGCCAAATTGTATTACAATAACAATTTGTTTTTCTATAGAAAATGTTATTACATATATGATTGAATGTAATTAAATAATATCGGAATTTTTTTATTCAAGTTCATCATATCAAAGATAGTTTATGATCCTTCTTGCTTCAATAATATGCAATAAGGAATATGACAATGTGTAATGTAATATTGATGATAAAGGCATTCTTATCACGACTCATAGGTTGTTTAAGTCTCAAATAGTTTACGTCTATTTAAAAAAATATATAACTAATCCGAAACAGGTCTTAATTGTTCTTTTCGCCAAATGATACAAACATAAACATTAGTGTCTGCAAAACATGTACGCGTGCTTAGGACAATTATTTGATTCCTACTTTGTAATTGCATACATTTTGTATAATAGTCAAAACTAAAATCAGGACTTCTTGACCAGAGTATATACATTTAAGAACAATTTATGTTTCGGTGCATTCCGATCATAGCTTTTAATAAGATTTTGATAACTGAAAGAGGAAAACAGATTTCCTACAGAAATCCCAGAACGCCAAAATTGAACATGTTACAGATTTAGTTTGAGCTTGTTTAGTGACGGTAGTGGAAATTGCAAGCTACCGTCACAGGACCCCAAGCACCGACTTAAGCAGAATTCAAAATTTACACATAAAAATGAAAATCTTTATGAATACTTTACAAAGATAACTAAAATAAATAAATGTTAAGCTTAAACATTTACAAAAACAAAAATGCTAAAGCCGACCCTTCGGACAAACGTATATTCTTAGAAACATTTAACCTGTTGTGAATATCATAAGATTATCCTTGTATTGCTTTTTTTCATATAAATAATTACTTTTGAATAATCAGTGAAATTTACGGACAAACAAATTGGTGAAAAAGTTTGGACAAACTGGTGGAAAGCATCTGTCTTACTGTACATTAGAAACGAAATCAAATAGTTTCAAAACGTTCTTTATTTGGTACAATTCGCAAATACAATTTTTGTCGTACATCTCTCTGCATTAGCTAGTGTGATATATTTGCAAATTGCAATCCAATTCTGCTTGTAGCAAACTTTAAAATAATGATATGTTTAATATATATTTTTAAAATAAATATGTGAACAGTTACCGGTATTTATAAACGTAACTTTCCCATAAAAAATTAGTTCATAGTGTCATAGTTTTACCTTTTTGCCTTGGTCTTATGTGGTGGAGAAAAATGAACATCTATATATCATGCTTATTTCTTTCGGTCAGTGACGTACATATATGGCCATATTTCACCATTTGTAATGATTCTGTCTAAGAATGCGTCAATGTCGAAGGCGCCGGGGATATGTGTCAATGTTTCGCCGTTGATTTTCACTGTTTAAGATAGGGTTAACATTTGCAAAAGTTTTGAATATATTTTGTTTTGTTTTTCTGAATGTTTATACTATAATTGGTATTTAAGATTACTATTTTTTACCAGTATTTTAATAGGAAAACATCACATTTCATATTGTATATATAATCACAATTTTAATATTCATTTTCACCGAATTGGTACACATCAATTTGATAACCTACTTAGATTATAATGTACTTTCTCTCACTATTTTCACGCCATTTTCAGGTACTGCCCAATGGAGATATAACGACACTTCACAAAGTATCCCAGAAATGGACACATCCATTACTGTAACATATGATGATGGACATTGGAGCATTCCATACTTTGATTGCGGGGGTGGATTCATCTGGATGATGACGTATACTGTACCTTTCTTTGGATACAGAAATGGAACGTTTAAATTCAAGTAAGTTTTGTTTAAATGTTTAATTCTCCCTAAGCCTGTGCTAGCGGGCATGGACGGTAACTTGCACTTTCCAGTACCATCATGAACTGTCTCAGTCAACACTGAACCTGCAATTTTTCCAATTTGTTGTTTTGAACGTGCTTTAGGGACTTTGTTTTTCTTTATTTTACATATGCAGTTGACTTTTTCAGTATTACACATTTATACAGTATTATACAAAAGCACATTAGGCTTTCTCCAAAAAATAGTAAATTTTAGATTGTATAATAAACTGAAGGATTTCGTTCCCGGGGTTATTTGTTTGTTGATAGCATAGCTAGCATATTACTTTCTGTAATATAAATAAATTAAATGTAATGTGATTGGCCATCCTGTAAACATTGGAATGTTTTATTGATTTTATAATAAATAGCAAATTAAAGGTGGTCAATAGATTAACAGATAAGTTATCCGCCATTCTTTGATGGTAGAGGTAAAGTTTATCTGATCGATTGAGTATCTACAGAGTACAAACTCTGTTCTGTTCAGATTATCAGATTATAAGATATTTATATTTCCGTTATTGCCTGTTGGCCTTGGATATTTGTTTATGCATTTTGCCTGTTGGCCTTGGATATTTGTTTATGCATTTTGCCTGTTCCTAACTGCATTGTCATTCTATGTTTCATAGTGTTTCAAACAAAAACTCTTTGATTGAATTTTGATTCTTCAACAAGTGGAATAATAGTCCTCTACATACAATGCAATACTGATGATGTGCTTAGCTTACGATATCAATTTTCATAATATAGTTTATGTTTCTTTTGTAATATATCTAGATATCAAGTTCGAGTTATGTTTAATTGAAATTGATAATGATTTATAACATTTAATGGTGCAGCAGTCTAATCTTATACTTTAGCTTAAGCGTGGAATTTAGATGAGCCTGCAAAATTCTCAATTTTGCCATACTGAGCGTTCGTTTGGGACTCAATTTTTTCTCTAGGTTAGGTTTTTATAACGGCCTTTTTATATGACACTGTTTGCGACAGTTTATGGTCAACGCTTAATAATTTCAGACTCAAACGATAATCAGACCATAAGTAAGTGCTTGCAAAATGAAGCGTTATTTTCGGAAACGTGTCAAATTCAGTATAGGCTGTAGTGTCCCTATACATCAATTGTCAAAGGTTTTTCCAGAGAGTTACAACATCAAGAAGTTTTTAGCTGTAAGAATTGTTCAGCCTGTAATCCATATAAAGCAATTTTAAGCTCAATTAATAGACTCATTGAAACTTGTCAGTATAAGTATGTGAAGGGGAATTCTTTTATTTTTTTCTTATTTAACATATAGTGGATTGTTGGTTGGAAGAAAGTGTTGACTTAAAAGAGCCTCATAAATGTTTAAATGTTTAATCTAATTACATATTAAGTTAAGCAGGCAAGGTGTAGACCGCAATGGACTAAAGACTTTTAAATGGCTCATTTGTTACATTTTTCATAACATAACTATAGATTGTGTGTATAAAACATTGCTGTCTTTTCCTTTTTTCTCTCAAATGTTGATAATGGAAACAAGCGGAAATAAGCAATATACGATCGATTCTATTTATACGAGACAAATATCAATTGTCAAACTCATTGAATTTCGACAAAAAGCACTAAGTCTATGCGTGCCCTTTACTTAAGTCAAAGTATGATCGGCAAGACATAAAATTCGAGCAGTATTAATTGCACTTCCTATTTCCGAGATGTAGGTTGACAGTCACTTGATGTTTGACTTAAGGCGTCTTCTGCGTCTGAGTGTCAAGTTCTCTACTAGTCGAGAGACTAGTTCTGTGCATTGTCACCCTCGGTTTAACCATCATAACTAGACAATTTTTGTCAATGAAAACCTTATAACTTTCTTTATAGATTATACTCGTATCAGAATATTAGTAAGTAAATGATAAAGAGCAATAATAATGTAATTTTTTGCACTTTCAATGCTTGTATAAGTGTAACAATGGACGATAAGCAATCAGAAAATGTACCCAGTGCAATCTTTTGATATTTCCTTATCAATTTAGTATCAATTAAAATGTTTAATAATATCTTCATCTGACGATTGCTTTAATTTTTGTGTTTTTATCATTTGACCTGTCTTTAACCAGAGCTACAATAATATTCATCGCAGTCTAGACAAAAATGACCTACATTCTTGCATATGTGTAGAATAACATCATATTCATGATATACATGGATCACAAACGTAGAGACAGTCGTGACAGATCTGACTTACAAAATGACATGTAATACAATATATAATTCACATATGTCATACTTATAAGCCAGTAACAAACGTGACCCGTTCTGTAATAGATCCTAGAGTCATTACTCCTAACGTTATCAATGACATAATATGTTTTATGATATAACAAAAATCAATATTTTGTAATAAAGAATCTTTATTTCTATCAAATAAATAATGATAACACAAAATAAAATGAAATATGGGTGTCATTAAATTGACAAAGATGTTGCAAAATAACTAAAATGTCACAAATGATTTATTATTTATATAGAAATCCATTGCATTTTCATTTAATCAACAGTCAAATAACATGTCACTCCAAGTCATTGTATTGACTTTTAGGCGAAAAAGTTTTGAATTCACAATAAAAAAGCTCTTTTTTGGAAAAATATATTTCGGATCATTAGAAATATGTTTAGCTTAAAGGGACTACATGTATATGCAACAAACTATGCAAACGAAATAAGATAATATGTACGTATTACAGATGGAAATTTTGTAAGGACAATATTTTGAACATTTTGTAAGGACGCAGTTTTGTTGAAGGACGTAATTTCGAATCGGAAAAAAAAGTCAATTTTTTATCTTATCAATTCATTTGTGTTTGCATCATAATAAAACGAAAGAGACACTGACCTTTTTGATCAATGTTTTATGCCATACTTGGTCAGTTGTCATAAGGTTGTCTCAAAAGACCGTTTTGGTGATTGTTGTAAACGTGTACCAAACGTCAGTGACGATATCCTATATTTGCTGATTACTAACTACAAAACAGCTTTGAAATTTATTCATTTAGAAATGTTTCATTTATTAAAAAATAACTTTTGGTCATCCAGGGCTCCTTGCCGCTGGTTCTTGTTGCTCGGTCGTTTGGGGACGCCGCCTTCCCTTGTTGAACTTGTTTATCATATTTTATTGCTTAAAAATCTCATTTTGTTGTCGAGTAAATTATTCATTTTATACATAGACACTTGTATGGTTATTTTACTCCAAATATAGTTAGTGTGCACAAAATTTTTGTTCTAGAAAATATTTGAGATTCCTTTAAATAAGTCTTTTATCAGAGGCTTTCGTAGCCAAGTTTTGATGGTCGCTGATTTCTAAATACCTCTAAGACTATTGGTTCTAATATTGATGGAAAGAAGTCATATCACCTCTGAAGGGTCAGTGTGACCGATCCATAAATGATTTATAGATATAACCTGCCTATGTTAAACCATATGGAAGAAGAATAACAATCCGTAAAGTTATGACAAAAATGGCATTCATCCTTACATATGTATATAAATAAATACGATCACATTTAGATACATGACAAACATGTTTTTCATAAACAAAGTGACAGTTGTGATGGATTTAACCTGAATGACGTATGATAAATCTCTTATTTCATACATGCAAACCAGTAACAAAAGTGGTCCGTTCCTAAATGTATTTGGTCAACAATATTCCTAACGTAATCAGTGATATTATTTAGTAAACGATATTACACAAATCGATAATTTTTATTCTCTAAAATAAATAATGGTTACACAAAAATAAAATGAAATATGGATGTCATGACATGACAAGAGACGTTCCTAACTAACTAAAAGATGCCATAAATGAATGATTATCTATATTTAGAAAATCCATATAAAATATTCGATGAAGCAGCGAAATAACGTGTCACTCCAAGTCAGTTAATTGACTTGCACATGATATTTTATTTTAAATTTCAGAATATGATAGTTCCTTACTGTTGAAATACGTTTTGGAACATTAGAAATATTCTTTATTTTATATATAGGATTGTATGTGAATAAAGCGCTGAGAAAGTATAAGATCTGGAATTTGCACCATTTGAACAACTAAATGAAAAGCTTCAATACAGGACGAAATAGTGAAAAACAGAATTCCTAAAGAAAGCCCAACACGGCAAAATTGTAAAATGTTGCAGGCTCGGTTTGATTGATACGGAATGCCGTTAGGGCCATTGCCTATGAATGTGTTGATCTGAAACGCGATATTCGATAGTACGATGGTGAAAACGCGAAATCACGAAACTACGATGGTGAAAATGCGAAAGTACGATGATGAAAACGCGAAAGTACGATGATGAAAACGCGAAATCACGAAACTACGATGGTGAAAACGCGATAAACTATCGTGTTTTCACCATCGTACTGTCGCGTTTTCACCATCGTAATTTCGTGATTTCGAGTTTTCATCATCGTACTGTCGTGTTTTCATCATCGTACTATCGCGTTTTCACCCTCGTACTATCGCGTTTTCATCATCGTACTGTCGTGTTTTCATCATCGTACTATCGCGTTTTCACCATCGTACTGTCGTGTTTTCATCATCGTACTATCGCGTTTTCATCATCGTACTATGGCGTTTTTATCATCGTACTATCGTGTTTTCACCATCGTAGTTTCGTAATTTCGTGTTTTCACCATCGTACTATCGACTATCGCGTTTCAGATTAACACATTCATAGGCGATGGCCCTAACGGCATTCCGGAATGCCGTTAGGGCCATCGCCTATGAATGGTTTGATCTGAAACGCGATACTCGACAGTACGATGATGAAAACGCGAAATCACGAAACTACGATGGTGAAAACACGAAAGTTTATCGCGTTTTCATCATCGTAGTATCGTACTGTCGCGTTTTCATCATCGTACTATCGCGTTTTCATCATCGTAATTTCGCGTTTTCACCATCGTAGTTTCGTGATTTCGCG